ACAGGAACGGATGGAAACAGTGCTGTGGCCTACACGACAAGTGAAGACAGGCCATCTAAGTATCTAAGTATCTAAGTAAGAAGAAAACGCTTTTCCGTTTTGAGAGCTATGCTTGAACTTTTTCTTTGTAAATGACGCCATTCCATAGAGTTACGGCAAAATATCTCAAATTAGCGTAAAACTCAATATTTTTATTTGAATTTACGGAGATGGAGTTCAACATACTCCAAAACTGTCGTCATTCTTCTCCGCTATACTACTCCTGGTCTTTCCACTTTTAAAAATTTTTCAAAGGCCTTCACATTCCTATCCTTTTTTTTGCCCACGTCTTTCAACCCAATCTAAAACTAGCCTTCTGTTTTCAAAATGTTAAATCGTACTCGGACTATAATTTTGTGACTGGGTACTCCAAGTGCAACTGAGGCGTGCAGCTGGATACTTGCTGGAGCTTGGCTGGATGAATGAATGATCCTGCAATTATTAGACTAGATTTCTAAAATTCAAAGAAATAAGGAAGCACAAGAATAGCATATCAATATGTCTGTTACGCGTTTGATCTTTCTGATAAAAAAATATAAATATGAAAATTATTTACCATTCATCATCTTCTCCAGGAATAGCAATACAACTCTGAGTCTCCATGTAGGTATGTTCTTGTGCACCAGTTCTTACCGTTCCTAAATTTTTTCTTACAATTGAGTAATTAAAAAACACGAATCTTGTGGTGCAGCAAAATTTACAGGTACAATGTTTTCAAAAACAAAAAAGTGCCCTTATATGCAAAGTGAATCAACTTTGCCTCTCTAACTCTACGACACCGCAATGCATCAGGTTTGCGCAGAAGTTCTTTTGTCTTTTAAATACGTCATCACTTTTCTAAACCAAGGATCTACATTCTCTTGCCTTCGTCACAAGTGCGAATCGTGACTTCGTAGCGGTTGTTAAGACTTTATATGTAAAATGCCCAGAAAGCAAGTTCGAAAATGCTCATTTAAAATTCATATTTCTGAAAATTACGCGGCGAGATTGCGTCCCCAGGGAAAACCACAACGATGTATACGAGTTGGGTAATGGTAGACGTACAGCAACAAGCAGTTCATGTTAACTAACTTAATCCCATAACTTTTTGCGATCGGTGAAACCTTCACGAAAGAAACGAAGAAACTTTCAGACTACCTAAACGTCAACGTTCAATAGATTAGGAAGCAAAGTCAAATTTCGTTTATAGAATTTTGAAAATC